TAATGTTTATTTTGGCATTATAAAAGTGTGATGGTGGTAGTGGAAGCATAGACAGCGCAATCAGTTCGGTGACTTAAACTAGATAATTTGTTATGGCAATATGCAGCAGCGGTTCAACTGACTGCTCTAACTATTTATCTACACGTTTTATTGATTCAGCGAGGGGCGGAAGAAGTACAGAAACCCTTTACTTAAGTACCAATACCTCAATGTAAAAAGTACTGAGTCCTGCATTCAAATACTGAAGTATTGTTAACTAAATGTATATGAAGTACTTGTTATGCAGCAAAATGATGCTTTAATATGTAAACAAAATCTTAATGTAAACAATTTGTGTAGCTTTATATGTGACAATGCATCATATTTTATAGTTTTATCACCGAAGTAACTACTGTCAAATAAATATGATAAATAGTAAAAAGTAAAGTGGCATAAAGTAGAATTGCTCAATGAAATAACATACTGAATAATGTAAAAAAATAAAAAATAATAATAATAATATAATGAATAAATATTGACAATTATAATAATATAAGTACAGTAAATGTACTGTATAAATGTAAATGTGTTGATTTCCTGCTCTGAGATAAGTACCGGCACTGAATGCGTACAGATCTGAGCAATGCAAAAAGGAACATAAGAGAAAACACTCACCTTGAGTATCGTGGCTTTGCCTCCTTTTGTGAGTTTCTTCAGGTTTTCTGTGACTTCAGCCTTTGATAGCTTTCTGTTCTCCCCAGTTGTACTGGCCTCTTTAAGTTTCTGTCTCTGTTCTTTCTCCTTGATCTTTAGACGCTTCACTGTCTTCTTGTGGCGTCTCTCACGCTTCTTGTCTGTTGACGTCTTCTCAGTATCACCCAGAATATCTCCTGCTTTGTTCTTTTCCTTTGGTTGGAGGAGAGTATTATTAGACATGCTGTGTAACTAAATATACCAAGATTAAAATAGATGTTTAAAAATTGATTTATAACAAACCTTGATTTCTTCTGGTGCGAGCAGCGTACCATCACTAGCACTGACTGGAGCCACCTCCTCCATTGCAATGGATGGCAGGTTAGACACCACTTTGACCTCAGGAACAGGCTGTAGACAAAGGGAAACATGAACATCAGTTTATTCCAATTCCCTTTTGGCCTGTTATGTTTTACATATTAGTTTTTAAAATCTTTGTATTGCAAGAATCACATTAAATTGAAGATGTCACTAATGAGAGTTAGATCAGGGGTAAAAATAAGCCTGTGATTTTGGTGAGTGCTAATATGGTAACTTCTACATATTTCTGAATCTTTCTAATAGGACAATCAATCTCAGTATTTTTGGCATATTATGTGACTTTCAGTCAGTGTTGTAAAGCAAAACTTACAGGTTTAGGTGTGAAGTGGAAGTTGGAGAGAGCATCCAACTTCAGGAAGAGTGTGTCCATAAGCTTCTGAATTTCTACATGGGAAGGGTTCTCCTCCTCTGTTTTTTGCTGAAATGAGAATAAATACAAAAAGAATAGATGTAGGGCAGGTTCCCGTGTGTTGGAGTAACACTGAAAGCAAGATAAAAGTCCAACCTGATTCTGCTTGAGGTATTCTTGCTCATAGATTTCTGCTAGACTCTGTTTGCTCTTCTCATGGTCCAATGTTAGCCTCTTCTTGTACTCAAACACCTCCTCTTTGGGTTTTTCCTTGCGGACCACATCATCAAATGCCTAACAAAAACACAAGTCAAAGCAACAGGGTTATAATCAGGCAACAAAAAAAAACAAAAAAAACACCAAATATAAAAAGTATATTATGTTATTAAAAAGTTATTCCGACTAACCTGGTCTTTAATTCTCTGTTTGATGATGTCTTCAATCTGTAGTGTGGTTTCCTCTGTGATAGCAGGGGCTTAAACAGAAAAGAAAAAAACTTGTTGTCTGATTTGAAACAGCACACAGAGAGAAATAATCACCATTTTAATAGTAACCTTAATCAAACAACATAAATGCTGGAGTCACTCACCCATCCTGGATGTTTGCTCAAACTCCACATCTTCCTCCAGCATGCTGTTCTCAGGACGAGTCTGTGCCGTCACCTCTCCTGACAACTGCCAGGGCTTCTCTCCTAGAGCGGCGCTCTCCAGCTCCTTGATCTTCTCTGTCATCTGTAGGTTAGAACAATAATAGGGTATAATCATATTCGCTACTGGCAGGAAACACAAGCAAGGAAGTAACAGATTTGTTGATTTAAAGGATTCTCAAGACCATTTCAGACATGCACACCTTTAAGTTAAGTTGGCAATTTCACAAGTCAGTCACATGTCTGAATAAGCGGGCTGGTCACTTTTACGTAAAAGTCCCCACCACAAGTCTGAACTGAAGGACGTCAGATTAACGTTAAGGCTGCAGTAGTGGTTTAAACATGTGCATCTTGTACGGCCCTTAAAGAACACTTAAAAACAAAATTTGGCATCGAATACCTGGTCAGATTCGTACTCATCTTCCTCGTATTCATTGATTAGATATTTCCTGCTTGATGCATATGTTTTGCATTTCATTTATTTATGGTTCTCGAATGGTTGCAGACAAAAATAACCACTGCTACATTAGAGTCGTTTGGCTTATTTTGTTAAACATAAAAGGGGATTGTGTATATATACTGTTGATAAGTATTGTTTTTGTACTGAAACTCATATGTTTTTGCCACTAGTATCAAAACTTTTCAAACAATACCCAGACCTATAAACAGCACTGTTACATTTACATATTGGTGGTCTACAGTTAGTGTAAACCTTAGCTGAACTTTAAACCTCATTACCTTTTCTTGCCGTTTCTCAAATGATGACTTTGATTCAGACTTTGCTGAGATTGGAGTTTTTCCTCCAAAAATGTCCGCCATGTCCTCCCCTTCACTGTCCTCGTCCCCAGAGAGGTTAAAGGCCACTTTCTTATGAGATGCTTTGGACTGACTTCTCTCGCCAACCCTGGCAAAGGGTAGACACAAACATACTCAACCAAATGTGCATCTCCCACACAGAATTATACAGATTACATCATTTTAATCACACTTACTCATCGTCACCCTCCTCTTCACCATCATAATCATCTTCCTCGTCATCTATTTCTTCTTCACCTTCTTCCTGGCTTTCATCCATGCTGTCATCGCCGCCATCTGACTGGTCATCTGCTTTAGCTGGTTCACGATCCACAGCGTCGAAGAAGTCCTTGTACTTGAGATTCCTGGAGCTCTTTTCCTGTCAATATAAACAATAATCCATATATTTCCTGCATTCGGTACCATTAGGACACAATCAAAAATTTAATTCAATTGAATAAAATAGGCGAGAATAAATACATACAGTGGTTTTCTTCTGCTTTTTGGTAGAAAGTATTTGCTCTAGGTCGAGATCATCGTCCTCGTCAGAGGGCAGGTCCTGAAAATAGTCTAGGGCATCTTCATCCTCCTCCTTTCCCTCTCGCTTGTCCATATCATCAAGAAACGACTCCATCTCTGACAGTTTGAAGAACTTATCATCAACCTCCGAGGGAACCACCTTTGTTTTGGAGCCTTTCCTTCCGATCTCCTTCTTCTGTTTCTCTCGCTTCTCCAGAGCGTCCACGTCAAAGTCTAAATCAGAGTCCTCATCCGTGTAATCCTCTGCCTTCGCAGCCATTTTCTTAGACTGTCCTGGTGGTTGCTCCTCATCTTCTTCCTCATCAACGCTTTCACCATCAGTCTCTACTTCTTCCTCCTCCTCCTCTTCCTCCTCTACCAGCAGCATTAATGTTGCATCTGACAAAGCCTCGTCAGTGGCATTTTTAAAGTGTTTCAGTACAGCATTGTTCTGCAGCTCCAGCTCCTGCCAGATCTGCTCTTCATCAAAGTTTTCCACCACCAGCTGAGCCAACGGGCTTCCTTTAAAATCTGCAGGCTCCTGAGCTTTGTGGAGGTCATACAGGGTCTTAGTGAGAGAGGTAAAGTCTGCTGCCACTCCATCTTGAAGGCTGAAAACGTAGAAAACACACAATCAGTAAGGCATGTCTGATGAATGAATAAAAAGCAAGAGGATGTTTTTTGTCCAAAAGACACCCATGAAGCTGGGTGCAGATCAGTGCTTTGCGATCTTAAATACTAGGATATATGTAACGTTATGTATACATTCATCTGTGATACACTACCATTACACTGGTAGCAACAATTACTATTAGCATTAGGCACTGGAATTACATAGTTAGTTATTATGGAGTAATGCCTTTTTTTAAGTATGTTGATTGAGAGGCCAGATGCATCAGAAGCTTGGTGGTGTGCCACCTCTGCTTACTAATTTCCTGGGTTGAACCCTGAACTTACACAGACCAACAAGATCTGAGTTTATATTAGGACATCTTTCATCGATTTCAACTTCAGAAACATGTTGTAGTCGCCATCAAAGAGCCCCAACCTACATTACACCGTTAAATCTAGATGGTTTATAGTGAATAGATAAAGTTAGGACTCAAGTTCGCCCTTCTTGTGTGGATCCTGTAACATTTCGATGCACCACAGCAGCCACTCATCAATACACCTCCTCAACTTTATCAC